TCAAGATAAGATCCAATCTTCCTATTCCAATCCCAAAAAACTATTTTCCATCTTCTCCACCCTCCTGGACCCCCCAAAAGCTCCTCCCCCCTCCTCACTTCTGTCAAGCGACTTTGTTACCCACTTTGAAAAAAAGGTTAATGATATTCGCTCTTCTTTTTCTGACTCACCTCTACTCACCGCTGGGTCACCAGACCCTCCTTCCACCAACACACTAACCTCCTTTTCCCCTCTCTCTCCAAGTGAGGTTCTTACCCTCATTACCTCTGCCCGCCCCTACCACCTGTCCTCTGGACCCTATCCCTTCAAACCTCCTTCAGACTATCGCTCCTGATATTCTACCGTTTCTCACCCATTTCATCAACACTTCTCTAACTTCTGGTCACTTTCCAAACAGTCTCAAGGAGGCAAGAGTAAACCCTCTCCTAAAGAAACCCACTCTCAACCCGTCTGATGTTATAAACTACAGGCCTGTCTCTCTCCTCCCGTTCCTGTCTAAATCACTTGAACACGCTGTCTTTAAACAACTCTCCTGTTATCTCAATCAGAACAACCTTCTGGATCCGCACCAGTCTGGTTTCAAGGCAGGTCACTCCGCAGAAACTGCTCTCATTGCTGTCACGGAGGAACTGCACACGGCTAAAGCAGCCTCCCTCTCCTCTGTCATCATCCTGTTGGACCTGTCTGCTGCATTCGACACGGTGAATCATCAGATCCTCCTTCGCACTCTCCAAAAACTTGGAGTTTCAGGCTCTGCACTTTCCCTCCTCACCTCATACCTGAAAGACCGTACCTACAGGGTGACTTGGAGAGGGTCTGAGTCCGACCCTTGTCAATTAACTACTGGGGTCCCTCAGGGCTCTGTTCTTGGTCCCCTCCTCTTCTCCTTGTACACAAACTCGCTCGGATCTGTCATTAGCCCGCATGGTTTTTCTTACCACTGCTACGCTGACGACACCCAATTAATTCTGTCTTTTCCCCGCTCAGAGACCCAGGTCGTCGCACGCATCTCTGCTTGTCTAGCTGACATCTCTCAGTGGATGTCTGCTCACCACCTCAAGCTCAACCTTGATAAGACTGAGCTGCTCTTCCTTCCGGGAAAAGATTGTCCCACTCTTGACCTGACAATCAACATCGGCACCTCAGTTGTTTCCCCGACTCAGACTGCAAGGAATCTGGGTGTGACCCTAGATAACAACCTGTCCTTCACTGCAAACATCGCTGCTACAACCCGCTGCTGCAGATACACGCTTTACAACATCAGGAAGATACGTCCCCAGCTGTCCCAGAAAGCAACGCAGGTTCTGGTCCAGGCTCTCGTCATCTCACGCCTAGACTACTGCAACTCCCTCCTGGCTGGTCTACCTGCATGTGCCATCCGACCTCTGCAGCTCATCCAGAATGCAGCGGCTCGTCTGGTCTTCAACCTTCCAAAATTCTCCCACACCACTCCGCTCCTCCGCTCCCTTCACTGGCTTCCGGTAACTGCTAGAATCCACTTCAAGACACTAGTACTTCAATCAATCAATCAATCAATCAATCAATCAATCAATGTTTATTTATATAGCCAAATATCACAAATGTTACATTTGTCTCAGTGGACTTCACAGTTTGTACAAAATATCAGTATGACAATACGACACCCTCTGTCCTTAGACCCTCTGTCCTTAGACCCTCTGTCCTTAGACCCTCACATCGTACAAGGAAAAACTTCCGAAGAAAACCCACAGTTTAAAGGGAAAAATGGGAGAAACCTCAGGGAGAGCAACAGAGGAGGGATCCCTCTCCCAGGACGGACAGACGTGCAATAGATGCCGTGTGTAAATTGAAGAGATAATACATTTGCAACGTAGGTAGACCAAATGTTTGGAAATGCATGTGTGTATATCAGTCTGCGCCGGAAGCGCAGACTGATATACACACATGCTGCGAATGGATCTGGCCCTTCCTACATCCAGGACATGGTTAAACCGTACACCCCAGCGCGTGCACTCCGCTCTGCATCAGCCAAACAGCTCGCTGCACCCGCACTGCAAGGGGGACCCAAGTTCCCATCAGCAAAAACACGTGGGTTTGCTGTCCTGGCTCCAGGATGGTGGAATGAGCTCCCCATTGACATCAGGACAGCTGATAGCTTACACACCTTCCGGAGCAGACTGAAAACTCATCTCTTTCGACTCCACTTCGAGCGATAGAATTATTAACAAAGCACTTTTATACTAATAAAGGGCTGGCTTATCTAAAGCCAGTTGAGTAGCACTTGAAATGTTTTTGCTCTATGAAACCTGATGTACTTATATGATTCTGTTTTCTTCAAGTTTGTATTTTGTTGGTCGAACGCACTTATTGTAAGTCGCTTTGGATAAAAGCGTCAGCTAAATGCAATGTAATGTAATTTCGGGTCTGTGTTGTCTGGTCTCCTGCCAACAGGGGGCAGTACAGCATCTCTGTGGTGTGCAGTGAGAGTATGACCCCAGGAAGAAAGGTTTCCTGATGGGAGGCTCTTCAGTAGAACAGCACACAGTGATGAACACACAGAGTAACGTGTTCTTAGAGTCAGTCATAAAACACACAAGATGATCCTCCTCTTCTGCACAGCCCTTCATCTCATACTGGTTTCAGGTAATAGAACTAAAGATTTCTTATCAATAATCACAGTTTTTGATGTAAAAGCCCATGATAGCAAATTGTTTTTCCACAGGTTCCTCTCTGAGTGACCTTGTCTCGCAGACTCCAGCTTATATGTACAAAAACCTCGGAGAAGAAGCCGTCATCAGCTGTTCTCACAGTATTAAAGACTATGACAGAATCCTGTGGTACAAACAAATGAAGGACGGACAACTGCAGTTCCTCGGATACATCATGGCAGGCATAACAAACCCAGAGTCTGGCCTGGGGGTGAAGATGGATGGAGATGCAAATATAAATAAGAACTGCACACTGACAGTTGAAGGGCTGAGTGAGAACAGCAGTGCACTTTATTTCTGTGCTGCCAGTCAACACAGTGCTGCAGGTCTCTGCTCCTCCTGTACAAAAACCTCCTCAACACGGTTCATTTACAGCTCTGTGCACCTGGAACATCACTTCCAACCAACGTCTATGTTCCTGCTGATTACCATGAGAGATTATAATAACAGGAGGTCGTCCTTTGCACATTTGCATATCAATGAACATGAACATAATCAGGACTGAGAATTGACAGACTGGTATTTTACTGCATGAATTGTGTGAGTTTGTGAAAAATATTGTTGTTGAAAGCCACTTGGATAATCCAATCGACAAGACCTTTCTGAGATTTGTAATTGACTTACTTTACCAATAACTCATGGTAACACGGGTGAGTATCTCGTTGAGGGGTAAGATGTGTCGTGCACAATCATGTCACCGCCCACCTATGACGAGGGAGGGTTAACCTAAAAAAGGGGGGTTCAAATAGCTGCTTCATTCATTGCAATGACACAGAGTCTTACACCTAACATTACAGTAGACAAACACAAAATTATCATTGTATTCCTGTGCTTGACTCCAGTGTTTCCCCTACCATTGTCTTGGAGGGGCGCTGCGCCCCGCCAACGGAGCCCCGCGCCCCCCCTGAAATTCAAGGTGTTTAAAATATATATATCATTTTATATACAGTGGGGCAAAAAAGTATTTAGTCAGCCACCAATTGTGCAAGTTCTCCCATTTAAAAAGATGAGAGGCCTGTAATCTTCATCCTAGGTACACTTCAACTATGAGAGACAGAATGGGGGGAAATAATCCAGGAAATCACATTGTAGGATTTTTAATGAATTAATTGGTAAATTCCTCGGTAAAATACGTATTTGGTCACCTACAAACAAACAAGATGTCTGGCTCTCACAGACCTGTAACTTCTTCTTTAAGAGCCTCCTCTGTCCTCCACTTGTTAACTGTATTAATGGCACCTGTTTGAACTCGTTATCAGTATAAAAGACACCTGTCCACAACCTCAAACAGTCACACTACAAACTCCACTATGGTCAAGACCAAAGAGCTGTCAAAGGACACCAGAAACAAAATGGTAGACCTGCACCAGGCTGGGAAGACTGAATCTGCAATAGGTAAGCAGCTTGGTGTGAAGAAATCAACTGTGGGAGCAATTATTAGAAAATGGAAGACATAAAAGACCACTGATAATCTCCCTCGATCTGGGGCTCCACGCAAGATCTCACCCCGTGGGGTCAAAATGATCACAAGAACGGTGAGCAAAGATCCCAGAACCACACGGGGGGACCGAGTCAATGACCTGCAGAGAGCTGGGACCAAAGTAACAAAGGCTACCATCAGTAACACACTACGCCGCCAGGGACTCAGATCCTGCCGTGCCAGACGTGTCCCCCTGCTTAAGCCAGTACATGTCCAGGCCCGTCTGAAGTCTGCTAGAGAGCATTTAGATGATCCAGAAGAGGATTGGGAGAATGTCATATGGTCAGATGAAACCAAAATAGAACTTTTTGGTAAGAACTCAACTAGACGTGTTTGGAGGAGAAAGAATGCTGAGTTGCATCCAAAGAACACCTACTGTGAAACATGGGGGTGGAAACATCATGCTTTGGGGCTGTGTTTCTGCAAAGGGACCAGGACGACTGATCCGTGTACAGGAAAGAATGAATGGGGCCATGTATCGTGAGCTTTTGAGTGACAACCTCCTTCCATCAGCAAGGGCATTGAAGATGAAACGTGGCTGGGTCGATATATCCCAATGCCAGCATGTCACTGCTCCTCAGTGCAAAAACCTCCTCAACATAAGCTGCCTTTATCTCTGTGCAACAGCTCTGTGCACCTGGAGTAACCCGCTCAGAACAGTGGTGGTTCTGAGAGCGATGGGAGATTATTACGCAGATATTCATCCCGTCTGCTGTGGCTGCTTCTCATGTTAAAGTGCTCCATTAAGCTTTCCCTTAAAACTGTAACTTGAATTATTATTTTTTGAATCATCCCAGCAGGTGGAGCCGTAGCTACATAGATGCAGAACTGATATGCTGAGGGGAGGGGGCATTAATGAGAGTGTGCAGGGGTCTGTAGTTCAGTCGAGTTTCTGCAGCGTTCTGTGTTCATTCAGAGAGGAGGACAACATGCCAACATTACTCTTTCTATCATCGATCATTGGTAATCACATTTTTAGGAGTACAGTTTGAATCTACAAAATAATTATTGACATTTTGATTTTAATAATTGATGCATCGTAAGTAATTTTTCATGCAAAAGTAACGTAAAATGTTCAGTCTCTCTCATATGCAGAAGTCTTGCTTTTCTCTGTTTTGTATCAGACTACATTTTAATCTCTTTGTACTGACAGAACAAGACATTTAAAGACCCCGGAATTTGAGAAACTGGGATTGAAAGTGTATTTAGAAATGTTTTAGACCAACTGATTGATCGATGAATCTAGGGAATCATCATTAGATTCACCGATAATGAAAACAGCTGTTATTTATTAGCAATAATATCGTTTCTAGTTGATTAATTCTCCTTTTCTTTTTCCTAGGTGTTTGTCTGGGTGTTGAGGTGAGGCAGACCCCTGCAGAGCTCCTGATGAGTCCAGGAGACAAGGTGCAGCTGGTCTGCAGCCATGAGAAGACCGACTACACCTTCATGCAGTGGTACCAACAACCCCCCGGAGAGAGAGCTCTGAAACGCATCGGACACTTGAACTACGACAGCAAAGAATACGAGGAGCCTTTCAAAGAACATTTTAAAATGTCTGGAGACCTGAGTGGAGACAAAGCGAAGAACGCGTCTCTGTTCATAGACACACTGAAGGCAGAGGAGCACAGTGCCGTGTATTTCTGCGCTGCCAGCTACGCACACTGACTGCACAGACCCCCTGCTCACACAAAAACTACCGTTACTGTTGGGAGTGATTCAAGTTAGAGCCAGAATCAATAAACATGTTATTTTAGCACATTTCTATTTCTAAGTTCTTTTTCATTTAATTTTGTATTGCAATGTTAATCTATTGGTTTTATACAGTAAGCATATATTTATTTATTTGTATTCCACATTCTTACTTTAATCTTAAGGTTTGTATAAATGTTATTATATTTTTATCTTTCATTTTATTTCATTAAATCTGTCTAAAAACTATTTCCCCTGGGCTGAATAAAGTATTCTGATTTTAAACACCAAGTCTAAGTTTCATCAAGCATTATTTGTGTGACTTAGTCAAAATAAATCCAACTTCTACATTTGATTTTTGACCAATTTATTATTATCAGGCAGCATTTGTTATCTACGTCAGTGAAAATGAAGAAATACTCAAACCTTTATAACTAAACAACTTTGTCAAATATAAAAAACCTCGCATGCACACTTTGATCTGCTTACATTATATTTATATCATATTTTGCTAACATTAGATATTAATACAGCTAACCAAAATGTTAAGTAGGGCTGCTCAACTAATCGTATTTTAATCGCAATTACGATGTTGGCTTGCAACGATTATGAAAACAACATCCAGTTGAATTATACTTAAAGTTCAGGGTAATCAACTGTTAAAAAAAAAAATTCAATAAATGGATGTTTTCAAAGTAAACGGATAACTGTTTTTAATAATCGTGATCGTCAATTATTGACCCAAATAATCGAGATTATGATTTTTGCCATAATCGAGCAGCCCTAATTTGAAGCATTACCAAAGTCGTTAAGCCACATTGTTTGCACACGTTAGTTGATGTAAGCCTACATGTGGACACATTGTGTCCCTCATTACGTGATGAAACAGTTCAGACATTTTCTCCTGATCTGTTCATAAAAATGCCGTTTAGTGTCAAAATGTTCTGACAATCTGTGGCTTGTGAAAAACGGTCACGTGTTTATTTTGATGACTAAGGAAAACAAATGTGCAATAATCTGTTTTCACATCTCTGGTTGGAGATAAAGGACTCGGACTGCTGCTCGTTGCTAAAGGGGCGTGGCAACAAGTACCCCATGTGACACAGAAACAGCAAATGGTGTTCCCTTTCTAAAACTTCTTCTGACTTGATGCCCTTATCTCCTGCAGACATCATCAGTTGTTCGGTTGACCTCATGTCAGTAATATGAATCTGTAAAAGTCTTTGACACAAACTTTGGAAAAAGCGTTTGAGTATACTTCGAGGAAGTCAAAATGATCCGTTTTCTCTTCTGTTGTTGCCTGTCAGGTAATAACTTAAATACAATGACCTCCTGCTGTCAAAATTGCTTAGTTTATAATCAGTCGGGATTGAAATACATGTTCTCTCTCCTCCAGGTGTTAGTCTGGGTCTTGATGTGCGTCAGTCTCCCTCTGATCTCATCAAATCACCTGGGCCCAGGAGTTCAACACTTTTAATCTCAATCTGATCCGATCAGATTTTGAAATCCCATGTTTTGTGATCCAGGATCAGACAAGTCGGCCAGATGTTGTCCCTGGAGTTCAAAGCAATTCAGGATAGGATCAGCCTGATCCAGATTACGACTTTTCAAGATGACTAGATCCTGAATATCAGTGCTTTAATCCTACCGAGCGCCATCTAGTGGACATGAAAAATAATACAAGGAAGACAAGAGACCACATTGCAGAGACATCTATTGTCCGCAATTACTTTTGAAAGGTGATGACAGATGATGGACTTTTTTTGTTGAAGATATTTTTTATTTAATCTAAATTACATTTGTGATTGACAATCTTTGTTGTGATACTTTCATGAGCATAAACATTTATGTCATCAACATTTGGTTGAAAACAAAATAGGCCACAAACGTGAGCAAAAAATGGAAAAATAAAATGTATTTCCCATGAAGGCTAAAAATGGTGTATTATTTCAGTTAACAAACTTTGCCATCTTATTTATATTGAAACATATTTTTAAATAAATGGTACAGTACATTTTGCTTTGGTAATCCACTGGAAATCCACCCCTCTGGTGGGATCAGGATAATCCAGTTTTTTGGGATCAAACTGATCCCAATCCTGTGTTGTCGGTTTGAACTACCCACTTTGAAGATGTGATCCAGATTAAAGCTTGGATTGGATTTCCTGATCTGATCGGATATCAAAGTGATCCTAATCCTGTTGTTTGGTTTTGAACTCCCCAAAATCCAAACATTGACAAACATCATATGTGTAATTTGTTGCACAATTCAAACGGGATCAAAAGATAATCTTTCTCTCTCCATTGACTTCAATACATACTTTTTCCGAAATAAGGTCCCATGGAGGTCCCCCGGGAAGGGAGGGACTTCGCCTCTCTATTGGAACAGTACTTCGGCGGCACTCGATGACGTAGCATCCTTGAAATATTGGCTTGGAAGCCAGTATCCTCGAGAATGAAAAAACATGGATACAAATCAAAGAAAACGAAAAGAAAAAGGTGGGGCCGAGAAGGCAAGAGAAGGCAAGAGAAAAAAAGGTGAAGTCACTCGCAGGTGAAGCATATAAATGTCGCAAATTGACAGATCATTTTGGCAGCAGCGCTGCTACAAGCACTATCAGCAGCAGCTTAGAACAATTGCAAGATGATGAAGTTCATGATGAGGGCGCGAGTTCAGATATACAGCCAGCCTCCTGCGTTCATGATGAGGGACAGAGTTGAGCTGCTGGAAGAACCAGCTCAACTGGCACACGTGCAGGGCAAGAGCAAGAGGTGGGTGAGAATGATCCCTTGAACTCAGTGGCGTTTTCTCCTGGAGGCCAAGGGATGCCAGGCTTCCCCTGTTTTTTATGATTGTAGTTATCATTTTAATAATGAACACTTTGTTTAGTTTCGGTAATTATTCTGTGCTGTGTGTTGCTGCCGGCCCGTCCCTCCCCCATTCTGATTGAGTATTTCACAAAGAGTGAAACAGCGCCCCTCTAGATGTTATGGTGAAACAGTAGGTTGCACTCTGTTGCGAGAGGAGGCCAGCTGAAATTGGCTTCCCTCGATGAACAAAAATGGAGGGATTGACCAATCAGATGAGGCTCACGTCATGCCCTGCCAACCTGTGATTGGTCAGGGCCATGCCAAGACCAATCCAGAGGCGACTAGCTTCCCTTGCCTCACAATCCAATCAAATCGCATCAACTTCAGTTCGTACTGTAACTGTCATCACCGCCCTTAGAAAGTAGCAAGCAACTGAAGCAAGTGCAATTATGGAGGGTGGAGATTTGGAGTATATCATCAAAAATAATTTCACTAAACTTCCGCTACAGCAGCAACTAAAAATTAAATCTGATGACAGGCCAATGCCCAAACTGGAGCTGTGTACAGAGAGGAACAAAGGAGCGAATCGGACGTAAAACTTTAAATAATAAACAGCGGATTTCTAACATTTGACATTTCATGTGGCCGGACTGGGTCAGTTTCCAGGGCTGAATTTTAGTCCCAGTCCGCCCCTGGGCTATGGGGATCTTCCATTTAAAGTGATGTTTAAAACTCTTAATGGGGCTCAGTTTTATATTGCTTTAGTTTATAATCGTAACGGATCGAAAAGTTCAGATATATTTTTCAATAATTGATGCGCTTCCACAAAGAATACATATATTTATAATTAGTTTAGATTGTTCCAGAGGTAGATCAAATAGCTAAGTGTGTTAGGTCTAACTCTTAGTGTGTGTTGCTCCGCTCACCGGTCCGTCACAGCGGGTGGAGCTGCAGGATTTCTGCTTCACACACGTTGCATACCGCTATTTTATTGTCTTTTTGGACACCTTAAAATACTGCCAGACCGGTGAAGCCATTTTGGCGAGCTTGTTTTGCCGCACAGAGAAAAGTGTCATGTATTTTACGCCATGCGATCGGCTCTCCTGATCGGCCTTTATAGAGAGCACCGATCACACTATTAAGACCCCGTTTACACGAGGACGATTCAGGTTGTATCCGCATCGTTTCTTTTGCGTATAGCCCTTTCATTTACACGAGGCCGTAACAAAACGATAGAAACGGACCCCGCAAACGATAACGGGTCCCAAGGTGGATCTGCAAACGGAACGCTCTGGGGGAGCAAACGGCTCCGTGTGTACGCCCTATGCGATCATTTTCTGATAACGATGAAATAGCCCCGCCTCCCTCTCCCCACGTCTCCTGCTCAGAGATCAGCTGCTGGGCTGTCAGAAGTGGGGGAGGAAAAGAGAGACTCCATTTTTTATTCTTATATTATTATATAGAGTCGTTATCAATTTGTTTTAAAGCTCAATAAATAACAAAGAAGACCTCTGACCGGCACTTTTCTAATTTTGTCCGGAAGATTTAAACTTTAAACAAAAATATCAAAGCCTTTACCATTCAACCTAATGTCAGATAGATGACATCAAACAAAACACGTTTTACAGAATTCCTTCATACCCAGAGCAATGGGTATATGGTCTCTTTTTTATTTTACCAGCTGTTGTTTTTAACTTTGACTGGGTTGTTATATTTCACATATTAAAGATCATTGGTTTGCATAAGTGGTTGTGTAGATGTAACGTTGAAAGACATATTGAAACATTATCCAAACTCTCCTGTAGTCCTGTGTTGCACAAACCCTGGGATATGTACATGTTTTACTCTTCAGTCATAGACGAATGTTTCGATCAGTTGCTCAGCTCTCTTCATGGTTAATAAATAGTTACAAGAATATATTTAGCATTTGGAGTTCTAGTAATGAGCTCAGAATGAAAGCAGTGAACAGCAGGGAGCAGTGAAATCACACCGACATGGAGAGGGCTGGAAGCTCCTCCTCCTTCCTCATCATAATGTACAATAAAAGGAAGATTTCACAACAATGTGTTTTCACTCATTTCTTTGCACGTCTCTGTTTGAGTTCAGATTTGAGTGTACATTTTAAAATGTTCCTCATTTTGGGTTTTTCTATGTCTTTGCTCACAGGTAAGAGTCACAGGATTTTATTTGCTGTAAACTAAAAAAAAATCAGATTCAGGGCAAGTTAGATTTTAAGACATTAAGATCAAAACTGTTTGAATTTAATTTAAGACCAATTCTTAAATGCAATGTTACTGTTATCCTTATCTGCGTTAAAAAGCTAAATCAGAAAAAAAAACGAATTATCATCCTAATCCCATGTGTTAGCATAATAAGACTTTTAAATCATTGATTAAACACTTTATAATAACAAGTAAGGCCTTATTTCAGATTATCAAAAGAAAGGCCTATTCACACTTTTTATTTTTCGTCCTCCAGACGTTGTGTTATCATCGCTTAAGATCCAACAATCACCTGAGAACCTGCTGATAAGGCCTGGACAACAGGAAGCCCGTCTGGAGTGTTTCCACGGCGATAACAGCTTCCCCTACATGCTCTGGTACCGGCACAGGTCAGCAGCCGGAGGTCAGCCGAGAGACATGGATCTGATCGGACTGCTTCATTATGAAAACACAGACGTAGAGAAGACCTTTGCAACGGAACGTTTCAACATCACAGGTCACTCAAAGGGCCGAGCTCAGCTCACAATCTCCAACATGAAGATGGCAGACAGTGCAGAGTATTTCTGCGCAGCGAGGAGCACGGTGTGTCACCTCCTCCGCCTGCTTTACAAAAAGCTGCAGTGACAAACACCTGCATCAGACAGAAACTGATCCTAAAGACATGAGGGAATATCTCAGCTGCTGGAGAGAGCTCTGCTCTGCTGCTCTGAGAGGACAGACAAAGTCATGCCAGCTAAAAACACTCTAGGAACACGTCATTATCTCTATCATGATCTAAACCCAATGAATTATTCTAGGTTGACAACATACTGAATCACATTAAAATGGTCCAGGTAAGGGAGATAGAGGGTAAATAGAATTGCAGCTATAATACAGAAAACAAGGGATTTATATCAAAAATATTCTTTCAAAATAATCAGTGTGTCAAACCGACTCCAACTTCATTCAACGACTTCAAGTCAATGTAAACAGCATTTTAGAAGTAAGCCTTTATAATCAGAAATGAACAATATTTGAAACCATGTAATAAATAGAATGATTTTGTGTGTGTAGGTGAGTACAGATGCATATACAGTAGGGCTGTTCGATTATGGCAAAAATCATAATCTCGATTATTTGGGTCAATAATTGATTATTAAAACCGATTATGCATTTATTTTGAAAACATCCATTTATTGAAAAAGAAAATGTGAACAGTATGTTTCTAACAGTTGATTACCCTGAACTTTAAGTATAATTCAACTGAAAAACCAATAAAATGTTTAATTAAAATAAATAAAATAATCGTTTTATTTCGATTATGTTGTTTTCATAATCGTTGCGAGCCAAAATCGTAATTGCGATTAAAATATGATTAATTGAGCAGCCCTAATATACAGTACATGTTCATATGTTTATATGTATGTGCACCATAATGCTATCCTACTGCTATAAGCAGCGACGTGCAGACAGGGGAGGCAGAGCCTCACCTGTCATACTCATAGACTGGCCATACTCCAATGTAACGGAAAAACAACTAAAGAAACTAAATAGTAATAATAATAACATGTCTCCACTGATCTGTGTTGTAAGTGTGATTTCTGTTTGATTCCAATCGCTTTTTATAGTCAAAATCAGCAAATTGGCCGAGCTCCGCTACAACTACATGGGAGCGATGAGGAGTGAGGCAGGGACGAGCTCTGCCTCTCGTTAGCCCACAGTAACTGGCTGGAGCGCGGGCACTAATTTAGCACGGGCACTTATTTTGTGAGCGCGCTCAAGCCAGTTACTGTGTGGTGAGGTGAGGCACAGATGAGCTCTGCCTCACCTCAGAATGCATCACCTCACAGAAACTGTCTGGAAAGCGGGCCCTAAGCGCATGCCTGCACCATCTCACTGTAGGTCACCAATGTAATGTTTGTAGATCCCTTTATTACATTTATCCTCGCCATCCATAGTCTCTAAATAACTTATTTCACGTATATATGATATTTAGGCTCGCTGGTCTCATCGTACAACGGCAATGAAAAAAGCACCAGGGGAGGCAGCCATAACCTCTGCCGCACTGAAGGGGGCGCAAGTGAGCCCACAGGTCCTTGTTGCTACTGTTATTCTACGCAGAGACGGTAGAGGCAAACAACAAGCTAGACTTTTGAAACTAGAGGAAGATAAGGAGGACTTTTACAAAAAAGTAATAGAGATTGTTGTCCAGAAGGATAGCATGGACTTCATCCTCAAGTCAAGGTAAGACCCCAATTGTAATGAACATGGGATCTTACTAAGAAAGAACAATCCAATATTTAGATGTTGGGTATCCTTTTGTTGAACGGTCTGTTTAAAATGAATCGAAGCATCAGACTAAAAAAGCTTTTGAAAATAACAGAATATTTCGATTAAGGTGAAAATATAATATTTGTAAATCTGACTCTGAAAGAGTCAGTGCCTCACCAGCCATGAACCTCACCGCACGCCACTGGCTATAAGTATAAACAACATCATAAATAAGCAAATGTTTATAGTACTGAATAAAAATCCAAATAAGTCATGCGTGAGATGAACAGAAAACAAACGAGACGGAGTACACACTGTTACACGTTGTTGCGCACCTAAAGACTGCAAACATAACTCAGCTTCATCAACATCTTTCTGTACGTCTCACTTCCAGCTAACACGCAGAGACTCTGACGTCATTTCCTCCACACAGAACTAAAGAGGTGGCCGCTTGTATTTTCCTTCACTTCCTCCTCCTGAATCACAATGATCCCAGGCTTCACCTCCTTCACTCTCTTTGGGCTGCAGGTAAAGTGTTTCAACGATTAAATACATTGTAAATATATTTTTAGGGTGAAATATTTTTAAAAAATCAGTTTTCTGTTCCAGATGTGTGTCAGTCGGTGCTCATCACTCAGTGGCCTCACTACATCTCCAGGCTTCCCAACGGTTCGGCAGAAATGCACTGCTACCAGAACGAAACCAACTATGATTATGTGTACTGGTACCGGCAGCAGAGAGGACAGGGTTTTCAGTTAGTGGCGTATGTAGTAGCTGGCTTTGCAAACTATGAAGAAGGGTTTACATCTGGTTACCAGGCAGTGAAAGTGAAGGAGAAGCAGCTGTGGTCTCTGAGCATCAGCAGCGTTCAGGAGGAAGACGAGGCTGTTTATCTGTGCGCTGCCAGTCTGCACAGTGCTGCCACAGACCTCAGGCCTATGGCAAGCCATTTGAGTATTTATTCAATTTCCTTGATATCAGACGGCAGCGGACTACACTAGTTGGCTCTTTGATTTCACTTGTTAGATATATGGTCAAACTAGTCAGGCACTCTGCTTTACTAGTTGAATAAAACATTTCACTAGTCGCTCTTTTTCAGCAACTAGTGGCACTTTTGTCCGACTAGTTAACACGTATGCCTTACTAGTGACGCCAGGAGCAGCACTAGTAGCGCCAAAGTCCCAACGTGTAAGCTTTTTGATTAACTAGTGACCCTCTGACCGTACTAGTGACCCTAAAAGTCTTACAAGTTAACTAGTGCGCTGCAAAAGCTCTGACATGTTAACTAGTCACACAAAAGAAGCACAACTAGTTAACATGTCAGAGATTTTGCAGCGCACTAGTTAACTAGTCGCACCCAGAATCACTCACTAGTTAACTAGTAAAGGCAAAATGTTCACTAGTTAACTAGTTGACGCCTCTTTTGACCTTACTAGTTAACTAGTGGGGCTCAAAATGTCTACACGTTAACTAGTGAACCCTTTGCCTTTTACTAGTTAACTAGTGAGAGAAGTTTAAATTCCACTAGTGAACTAGTGAGGCTTAAAATGTTCACTAGTAGCACTAGTGGATCCCAAATGTGCACTAGTCACACTAGTGGCACAGAATGCTAATGAGGAGGAGGGGAAAGAACGCATCGAGGTCTCCTATTGGCCCTAAGCTATAGAGCGCCACCCAGCCCAAATAGTTTATTTAAGAGCTTAAATACACTGTTTTAAAATATGACCATATTTACAAAAATATAAAACAAAAGTATTTGTGTAATTATGATCATTGTATATCAAATTAGGTAAGAACATTGAAGACTTTCTTAAAATTAGAAAGTTGCCTTATGACTGCAGACACGAATATAGATCCTCTTTAAAACATTTTATTAAGCTGCAATTTGAAAGGTGCTTGGATTAGAATGGCATTGTGATAAAAGAGTGACATTATTGATGGATTGAAAGAGGAAGTAACCCTCTTCGGATCACAGCTTTGAGAGATCGCTGTGACTTCCGTAAATATTAGTCTTGGCAAATATGGAGAGGTTGTTTATCTTCATACGGATCTATCGTTACCCTGATTTTAAGATCTGTCCAGTGTTTCTGCTTTATTCATTTCATGAGGACCGCTGATAAAATGTCCCACGATCACTTCCTCTACTTTTGTGTCTCGAGTGCCGGTGTTCTCACACACAAGCGTGCGCACATTCGCACCAACAAAAACACACACACAAAGCGGAACAAAGCAGAAGCAGAAACATGTATTTTCCTAGGCAAAACACACACTGACTGACTTCCCACGGACAATATGTTAACAGTAGGCATAAATACCCGACTGATGCACCTCACGTCTTCAAGACCTTGCTAAAAACATCGCAGAAGAACACCCCCTCAGGCTCTCCCTCACAGAGCTGAACTGACCAATCAGAATCTGGGTCCCGCCTGCTTCATTTGCCTATGGCTGACTAGTTAACGTGTTGGCCATATGAACGGCAACTAGTTAACTAGTGGATACATATTGCAGCTTACACGTTAACTAGTGAAGGCATAATGTTCACTAGTGAACTAGTTGAAGCCTGTTTTGGTCTTCTAAGCTGACTAGTGAGGCTCAAAATGTGCACTAGTTAACTAGTGAGGTCCAAATTGTCCACTAGATGCACTAGTACAATTGTTTGTACCTTACTAGTTAACTAGTTACACACACTTTATCTCACTAGTTAACTAGTGAAGCCTTAGAGGAGTCACTAGTGAACTAGTGACACAGATGTTTTTCTTACTAGTTAACTAGTGGAGGGCATTTATTCTCACTAGTGAGGTTATATTATAAACATGTTAGTCTTTGACCTGACATGTTGCACATTTTTCTTACATGTAAGCCCTTTCCTTCGACTAGTTTGGCTTTTTTTGCACTAGTGAGCAACTGCATGCAACTAGTTAGCTATTGATTTAACATGTATGTATGGCAAGCGATTTGAGTATTTATTCAATTTCCTTGATATCAGACGGCAGCGGACTACACTAGTTTATGGCAAGCCATTTGAGTATTTATTCAATTTCCTTGATATCAGACGGCAGCGGACTACACTAGTTGGCTCCTTGATTTCACTTGTTAGATATATGGTCAAACTAGTCAGGCACTCTGCTTTACTAGTTGAATAAAACATTTCACTAGTCGCTCTTTTTCAGCAACTAGTGGCACTTTTGTCCGACTAGTTAACACGTATGCCTTACTAGTGACGCCAGGAGCAGCACTAGTAGCGCCAAAGTCCCAACGTGTAAGCTTTTTGATGAACTAGTGGCCCTCTGACCGTACTAGTGACCCTAAAAGTCTTACAAGTTAACTAGTGCACTGCAAAATCTCTGACATGTTAACTAGTCACACAAAAGAAGCACAACTAGTTAACATGTCAGAGATTTGGCAGCGCACTAGTTAACTAGTCGCACCCAGAATCACTCACTAGTTAACTAGTAAAGGCAAAATGTTCACTAGTTAACTAGTTGACGCCTCTTTTGACCTTACTAGTTAACTAGTGGGGCTCAAAATGTCTACACGTTAACTAGTGAACCCTTTGCCTTTTACTAGTTAACTAGTGAGAGAAGTTTAAATTCCACTAGTGAACTAGTGAGGCTTAAAATGTTCACTAGTAGCACTAGTGGATCCCAAATGTGCACTAGTCACACTAGTTGCACAGAATGCTAATGAGGAGGAGGTGAAAGAACGCATCAAGGTCTCCTATAGGCCCTAAGATATAGAGCGCCACCCAGCCCAAATAGTTTATTTAAGAGCTTAAATACACTGTTTTAAAATATGACCATATTTACAAAAATATAAAACAAAAGTATTTGTGTAATTATGATCATATGACTCTTTATCAAATTAGGTAAGAACATTGAAGACTTTCTTAAAATTAGAAAGTTGCCTTAGGACTGCAGACACGAATATAGATCCTCTTTAAAACATTGTATTAAGCTGCAATTTGAAAGGTGCTTGATTATAATGGCATTGTGATAAAAGAGTGACATTATTGATGGATTGAAAGAGGAGGTAACCCTCTTCGGATCACAGCTTTGAGAGATCGCCGTGACTTCCGTAAATATTAGTCTTGGCAAATATGGAGAGGTTGTTTATCTTCATACGGATCTATCGTTACCCTGATTTTAAGATCTGTCCAGTGTTTCTGCTTTATTCATTTCATGAGGACCGCTGATAAAATGTCCCACGATCACTTCCTCTACTTTTGTGTCTCGAGTGCCGGTGTTCTCACACACAAGCGTGCGCACATTCGCACCAACAAAAACACACACACAAAGCGGAACAAAGCAGAAGCAGAACATGTATTTTCCTAGGCAAAACACACACTTACTGACTTCCCACGGACAATATGTTAACAGTGGGCATAAATACCCGACTGATGCACCTCACGTCTTCAAGACGTTGCTAAAAACATCGCAGAAGAACGCCCCCTAAGGCTCTCCCTCACAGAGCTGAACTGACCAATCAGAATCTGGGTCCCGCCTGCTTCATTTGCATATAAAGGCTCACTAGTGAACGTGTATGGCCTTCACGTTCACTAGTGAGCCATATGAACTGCAACTAGTTAACTAGTGGATGCATATCGGTCTCCTATTGGCTCTTAAGATAGACCTCGCCCATCAATCTTCACAGAAGTTCAAACACAAACATGGGAACCGTAATATGTAATTTTCACAGAGCATGCTTTTGAAATGATTTCTAACAAAAACCTTTCTAAATTATAGTAAATTATTAAAAAAGTTTTAGTCAATACGTTTTTCTGCCTAAAATAGTTGAAATTGAACGTAAACTATATGAAACACCAGATGCATGGCAATTAACCCATTTTTGCCCGCTATTTAAATTGACTTTGGTTAGTTAATAAAAATATTGATATTATATATATATATAGCATATAATTGATGCAGTCTTTCTGAACACTTTTTAACAAAAATACTGCAAATAAAGAATATTTAAAATGTTCTGCACAGATAGTGCCCTAACTTACAGCAGTTGAAAAGATTTGTGGCTCTCTAGATAAAGGGCGTTGTATGGTTGCTTGTATTATCCTCAGATAGTGGTTTGTTTAAATAACTAGTGACATTTTAATAAATATTGCAAAAAAGGGCTCCAAAAAAGGCATATATATATATATATATAACCTGGCCGGCTTAGCCAGTGTGTATTTCTTCAAGCACCACAAGATTCATAGTTTATAAAGTACAATTCTGGGCCATTGATTGTGTCATTTCTTCAAACACATACAGTAAAAATGCCTGTTTTTGAAGCCTTAAAATGGTGCAGGAAAAGGACTTTATATTGGGTTATACTTAAAGACAGAACTATTCAGTTAAGACAAGAGAAAAAAGGAAATACAATTGTTATAATGGGTGATTTAACATTAATGACAGACGTAATTTGAAGTCCCTGGCACTCAGACTCTAGAGGGGTCATGTTGTGATCATGGGGCATCACCCTTACAGCATCAGGACAATATCATATGGAGTCAGACACTGGAAGTGTGCTGGAGGCATTGACTGGGACTGATGGAAGGATGAGGCTGATGAGACTGAAGAATCTGCGAGGAATGAACTAGCAGCTGAGAAATAATCATATATTAAAAGACAGCAGCTTCATAAGAAGCCAACAAGAGTGACAGAGTGTGTCACTTTTCTGAAGGATAGACCAGCTATCCAGGCCAGACTCTAAAGACTTTCCAAGGTGTACAATTCTGCTGCCGGAGTACTGACTGGAAATATTGCTGATATCATGTCCACCATATCCTCTTAAAATATTCTGTCCAACAATATCAGTCTCATGAAGAAAGGTTTTTTAACGCTTATTCAAAATAGCAGAGAAACATGCATTCTTGTTCTCAGGAGGGGACATTGACAGAGGATTACTGGAAAAGTACATAGTAAGTACTTCATAGTACTTGTGGGGGTAGTTTCAGTAGTACTGAGTCCAACAGGATCAATCTCACGAAGAACTAATGGCAACAAAAAAGAATTCCCTCATCAAACTTAGCAGAAGTGGCTTGATTTTGTTCTCAGCAGGGGACTTTGACAGAGGATTTCTCAAAAAATACACAGTAAAAGTACTTCCATGTATTATAAGTAGTAGGCTAACTAATACAAAGTCAAACAGTATCAATTTCATTAAGAACTAATGGTAAAATATAATTATATTTGTATCATTCATCAAAGACAGCAGAAAACATGCATTATGTAGCCTACTATGGAAGGGACTCTGACAGAGGATTACTCACAAAGAACACAGCAAAAGTACTTCATTTTATTTCTGGTAGAAGTCAAACTAGAACCGAGTCCAACAGTGTCAGTTTTCTTAAGAACTTGTGGTAAAACATATTTGTATCACTCGTCAAATATAGCAGGAATGAAGAGCAGCTGATTTGGAGTTGACCGCAGTGCAGAATCACTGTATAGTTTAAATCTCCTAACAATGTTGTCCATTTTAGACAGAGGCTTATTATATTTACAGCCCTTAGTTACATCCATTTTCTGGGCTCAATATGTGTCTTGGCCGTTTTCGTTGTGATCGCTAAATTCACCTTGTTTCCCTTTGTTTATAATATTATCACCGCTTTTGTTTTGAAATCACTTCCGTGAGTTTCGCCCCTCGCTCCAATGACCATTAGACCATTTAGTAAGGTAAGAAGCAAAAAGGCCTCTCAAACGCTCTTCCGTTTACGTGTTTAATAAAGAAAAACAATTGGACGGTAGATACACGGATTATCATGGCTCAAGATCCTGTTCTTGTTTAAGATTATTCATACTAATGTGTGTATTTAACATCCATATCACTCTTCAAAACTGAAACAACTCAAACATTTTTTTTAAAGCATTGCAGGCCTAAAGCTCCACGTCAGTGACCTATATTTTAATTTCTTCCATCAAACTTTAAAAATGGCAAACAGCATGTTTTTAAAGATGTAATCTTTTAAGAAACAAAATATCAACTTTGAAGAGAAGGGTTTAAACACACGTTTTTAATGCAAGTAAACTTCAACTTATATATATATATATATGATATACATCATATATATATATATATATACATACATATATATGCAAGTATTGCTAATGCAATTGTTTTTTAAGTTTTTGTACATAGTCTCAAATGTTGAAATTGATTATGGAGGCATTACAATTTAAGACTGATAAATTAACACTGAAACTACTGTTTTTTTTGCATTAAGTCATACTGGGATGTTTGCTGAAATTGATTGCATGTGGTACAGCCCTACTTAGAAAAAAAATCCACCAGCCGCCACTGCTTATAAGGCTCTTCACTCAGTTTGGACACTGACCAATCAAAATCTGGGTCCCGCCTGCTTCATTTGCATATGGCTGACTAGTTAACGTGTTGGCCATATGAACGTCAACTAGTTAACTAGTGGATACATATTGCAGCTTACATGTTAACTAGTGAAGGCAACATTTTCACTAGTGAACTAGTTGAAGCCTGTTTTGGTCTTCTAAGCTGACTAGTGAGGCTCAAAATGTGCACTAGTTAACTAGTGAGGTCCAAATTGTCCACTAGATGCACTAGTACAATTGTTTTTACCTTACTAGTTAACTAGTTACACACACTTTAGCTCACTAGTTAACTAGTGAAGCCTTAGAGGAGTCACTAGTGAACTAGTGACACAGATGTTTTTCTTACTAGTTAACTAGTGGAGGGCATTTATTCTCACTAGTGAGGTTATATTATAAACATGTTAGACTTTGACCTTACATGTTGCACATTTGTCTTACATGTAAGCCCTTTCCTTCAACTAGTTTGGCTTTTTTTGCACTAGTGAGCAACTGCATGCAACTAGTTTGCTATTGATTCAACATGTATGGCTTTTTCTTAAACTAGTGGATATTTAGAGCCCACTAGTTGTGCTTTTGTTCTCTCTAGTTCAACACAATGACTTACTAGTTGACGTGTACGTGCAACTAGTTAACTAGTGAATTGTTTAAAAGTCATACATGTTGACTAGTGCATTTGTTGACACATCACTAGTAAACTAGTTGTACGTACACGTCAACTAGTAAGTCATTGTGTTGAACTAGAGAGAACAAAAGCACAACTAGTTGGCTGAAAATATCCACTAGTTCTGGAAAAAGCCATACATGTTGAATCAATAGCTAACTAGTTGCATGCAGTTGCTCACTAGTGCAAAAAAAAGCCAAACTAGTCGAAGGAAAGGCCTTACATGTAAGACAAATGTGCAACATGTCAGGTCAAAGACTAACATGTTTATAATATAACCTCACTAGTGAGAATAAATGCCCTCCACTAGTTAACTAGTAAGAAAAACATCTGTGTCACTAGTTCACTAGTGACTCCTCTAAGGCTTCACTAGTTAACTAGTGAGATAAAGTGTGTGTAACTAGTTAACTAGTAAGGTAAAAACAATTGTACTAGTGCATCTAGTGGACAATTTGGACCTGACTAGTTAACTAGTGCACATTTTGAGCCTCACTAGTCAGCTTAGAAGACCAAAACAGGCTTCAACTAGTTAACTAGTGAACATTTTTCCTTCACTAGTTAACGTGTAAGCTGCAATATGTATCCACTAGTTAACTAGTTGCCGTTCATATGGCCAACACGTTAACTAGTCAGCCATAGGCAAATGAAGCAGGCGGGACCCAGATTTTGATTGGTCAGTGTCCAAACTGAGTGAAGAGCCTTATAAGCAGTGGCGGCTGGTGGATTTTTTTTCTAAGTAGGGCTGTACCACATGCAATCAATTTCAGCAAACATCCCAGTATGACTTAATGCAAAAAAAAACAGTAGTTTCAGTGTTAATTTATCAGTCTTAAATTGTAATGCCTCCATAAACAATTTAAACATTTGAGTCTATGTACAAAAACTTAAAAAACAATTGCATTAGCAATACTTGCATATATATGTATGTATATATATATGATGTATATCATATATATATATATATATATATAAGTTGAAGTTTATTTGCATTAAAAACGTGTGTTTAAACCCTTCTGTTCAAAGTTAATATTTTGTTTCTTAAAAGATTACATCTTTAAAAACATGCTGTTTGCCATTTTTAAAGTTTGATGGAAGAAATTAAAATATAGGTCACTGACGTGGAGCTTTAGGCCTGCAATGCTTTAAAAAAAATGTTTGAGTTGTTTCAGTTTTGAAGAGTGATATGGATGTTAAATACACACATTAGAATAATCTTAAACAAGAACAGGATCTTGAGCCATGATAATCCGTGTATCTACCGTCCAATTGTTTTTCTTTATTAAACACGTAAACGGAAGAGCGTTTGAGAGGCCTTTTTGCTTCTTACCTTACTAAATGGTCTAATGGTCATTGGAGCGAGGGGCGAATCTCACGGAAGTGATTTCAAAACAAAAGCGGTGATAATATTATAAACAAAGGGAAACAAGGTGAATTTAGCGATCACAACGAAAACGGCCAAGACACATATTGAGCCCAGAAAATGGATGTAACTAAGGGCTGTAAATATAATAAGCCTCTGTCTAAAATGGACAACATTGTTAGGAGATTTAAACTATACAGTGATTCTGCACTGCGGTCAACTCCAAATCAGCTGCTCTTCATTCCTGCTATATTTGACGAGTGATACAAATATGTTTTACCACAAGTTCTTAAGAAAACTGACACTGTTGGACTCGGTTCTAGTTTGACTTCTACCAGAAATAAAATGAAGTACTTTTCCTGTGTTCTTTGTGAGTAATCCTCTGTCAGAGTCCCCTCCTTAGTAGGCTACATAATGCATGTTTTCTGCTGTCTTTGATGAATGATACAAATATAATTATATTTTACCATTAGTTCTTAATGAAATTGATACTGTTTGACTTTGTATTAGTTAGCCTACTACTTACAATACATTTACTTTTACTGTGTATTGTTTGAGAAATACTCTGTCAAAGTCCCTGCTGAGAACAACATCAAGCCACTTCTGCTGAGTTTGATGAGGGAATTAATTTTTGTTTCCATTAGTTCTTCGTGAGATTGATCCTGTTGGACTCAGTACTACTGAAACTACCCCCACAAGTACTATGAAGTACTTACTAT